ACCTCTGCCACATTTCTGTGGGTTTTTAAAAGCCTATTTCCATGTGGAATAGATTTTGACAGACTGTGCGTTTCTGTGCAATTTACATTAACCAGAGGATGATTCTATAGAGCAGTCAACAAACACCTCATTTTCCACTTCCACACAACTTTATGTCCTAAAACGTTCATGTCAAAAGGTGCACTGAGATCACAGGCCAAACAAAACCAAACAACTGGGTAATACACTCATAGCAATCTATATTATGGTGCATTAGAGTTAAAATGACAAACCAAATTGAGCTATGATATTACATTTATTAAACCTAAAGTAAATTTAAAGCTAATCAACAAAGATTCACTCATGTTTGAAAACAGCTGTAGGGGATTCTTGCCTGGTTTTCTTTAATCTCACTCTCCTGCTCCCAAAACACATCTCTAGAATGTTCCTGTCATTTCTTTTTAAGCAACATTCACAGAATCCACCTCTTTACTCCAGCTCATCTGAATTCGGCAGCTCGCCTTATATCATCATCATTCTTTGCATGCTAGTCTATTCCTTCAGTTTCTTCACTTGCTTCCTGGTGCTATAACATCTCATTCAACTTCCTAGTTCTTACATACCACTGTCTCCACAATTACATGCTTTCAGTCCCGTCTCTCCCTGCAACCCCTCCTGTCCTCCTCTTCCACCAGGCAGGCTGGACCCCCTCTCTTCTCCCACTCCCACAGCCTATTTGTTCTTCACCCTCACCCTCAGAGGTGGAATGAACAGAAATCAGAATTATTCAGGCCCTGACCATCCTTTAAGCACATGCTCAAGAAAATTTAAGAGTCATTCATTTAGACAGCACCTGTTAACTGTGCCACATCCTTCAATTTCTCACACTGTAAAGTATTAATATTCTGAATTCCCAAATTGTTCATGTAACTTCCTAGTTGTACTTATTCAGAGTAAAAACAGAACAGATACTAACAGGGTGCGTTACATTACTGTTCCATATCCATACTATCTACAAAATGTTTTAACTGTAACAGTTTCAATTTGTTTGCACAGTATAGGTTGTGCTATCCTTATTGTTAACTTCTTGTACCTGTAAGATTAACATTTTAAGCTCATCGGAATTTTTCATTTTTACTTAATTATATGCATACTGTGTAAGTCAAATTATTGTTAAAATGAAAGTACTTTTGGTAATTAGAAATTCAAAATATTATTAAAATGAAAGATACAGGAACCCAAAGTAATGCATGCACACAGATTGAGAACTGGATAATGGGCTTGAACAGAATACATATTAGGAAACTTTTGGAAAGCAGAATGCCTTTAATGCAGTACCACAGAGGTCTGTCTTTAGACCACTACTCTTCATTATGTACATTTATGATCTTAAATATGTCATTTCTGCTAAACTTGTTAAATTCACAGAAAATCCAATAAGGATGTTAAGAAAAACAACACAAATACAATAGGTGCAAATTATTGCACACAGACAGTAATAACATGAATTACAAATACAAAAAAGGCAGTAATCCTGAAGTAACTATGAAGAGGATCTAGTTGGCATCTTGATCTAGGGAAAAAAATACAAAATGCAAACAAAATGTTTGGATATAGAGTGAAATGTACAGCTTGCAAAAGGGAAGTAATATTATCAGTAAGACCTTTTTCAGAATATTCTACAAATGTGGCCACCATTATAAAAAAAACTGCTACTGGAAAGATTTCAAAGAAACAACTAAAAGCATTCCTGGTCTCATCATCCATAAACCAGTTAAAAGAGCACTTTATTCTTTTGAATGCTCTTAAGTTTTAAACAGAGCATATTATGAGGGGATGTGATATAAGTTTTCACAATTCTGACAAATACAGATAATTTATTAAATGTATTGCTTCAGAGTCAAAAGAAAAACTCCGCAATAAAATTTAACAACAGAAGAAAGTGCTTTTAAAACTGAAAACAGGAGCGACTTTACACAGGGGTGTGGCTGTACGAATTAAACTACTCAGAGCTCACATAGATTACCAGAGAACATTCAAATATAATCTGGGAGAGATCAGATCAATAAATTACTAGGAAACAAGCTAGATAGGCTGAATGGCCTCTTTCTTTTCAATGTTTTGTAAAGGGCTCATACACATTTACCAGATCTACAGCTTGGTAGAGTGCTCGGTTGAGAAATGGGGTTCTTGTTTGAATCAATAAACAACTAAATTGGCACATCAACAACATGGCTCTCATCTGGCATCAACAGCATGAACTATGGAAGGACTTCAGTCCTGAAACCACATTGATTACCATACATTCCTACACTCACCAGCCATACTCACCCCTGCTGCCATGCCAGCTGAGATAGTATTGACAGCCAGTCATTGCGCCACCCACCTGCACCTGTCCACATATCTGCATTCAGCACCGGTTGCCATGAATACCAATTTGACAAGAGATCTGGATCACCTGGACGCAATTAACTTCATCGCCCACTTCAGGTGGTTCAGGGATATTTAGGGCTACTCTGACCCTGCTCAGGTTTCCGTTACAGACTCTGAGCTTCCAAAACCTCCGGCTTTTTCCTTGCTGCATATAATTTTGATTCCTAACCTCTGCTTGCGTTCTTGACATTGTTCCCAGACCACCCTTGGCTTGTTACTCTCAACACACCTATTGGATTCCCCTTTGTGCTCTGAAGTAAGTTTTGTTTGCATCAGTTTGACCCCCTGCCTGCCTGACCATGAACTCTGCGTTCTTGTCTGCTACACTACCCCGCCGCATGCGAGCACAGCTCTGCCGAATCCCTAGCTTGCCACAGCAGCATTTTGCCTGTGAGCCTGGCACCACTGCCTGCATGCAGTACAGATATCTCCCATTTCCCAGATATTCTCCAAGGCTTATGGCAACTAGCAAATAGTGACACAAGCAGTACATTAATGTCTGAAAGTCTAGTCTCTGCCAGATCATGGCAGCTATCACAATAGGGTTGTCAACATATGGGTGAGGCAGACGTGCGTTGGCAGTTGTAGCTGTGAATGATCAGCCCTACCTAGAATATGTTTCGCTTGGCCCTTTAAGATAGGAAAAAACAAAGGATGCCCTAAACATAAATCATAATGCCCTAAACATAAAAATGTAGTAAAAAAAACAAAACAGAGTATTAAAATATGAGACCTTTAACATCACGGCCAAGATGGACTGTCTAAAAAGACATATTCCATTTGTGTCATCAGAACTTGCCTGACAAGCCAGAGAAGGACCAGTAAAAAAAAGCCGGCCTTTCGTCTTGAAGTGAAAATCGAAGAAATATAGATTTGCCTCACAAATGAAACCTTTGGCATCTTTTGTAAATTTATAATTGGAATCAAGGAGCACCCCATGATTCTGTCTCATATTAGCAAAGAATCAATCAAAGAATCAATATACTTATATCATATTCCTATATATCAATGCAAATTCAGGGATTCCAGCAATTCAAAGACTCCATGAAGCACTGTTTAAGTAGTTATGCACTAAAGCACTGAATGAATACAACCATAAAAAAACACATTTTCAAAAATCGCAAGACTCAACCAAGAATGGAAGAAAGGTGTTTATATGGTTCAGGAATATGGGAAACGCCTGCTAAGACATACTTAGATTTGGTTTTATACCAAGAAATACCAAGATTGGTTTGATGAAAATGACTAGACTATTAATCAATAATCAATTACTTATTGATCAAATGTGCAAGGCTTTCTCTGCATGGGAGAGTAACCCAAACTCCACAGAGAAGTACCTGGCCCACCAGCAAGCAAACAAGGAGGTATAATGGAGATTTTTTAACACGATGAACAGATGGCGGACAGACAAGGCAAAAAAAATTCAACATCTTGCATACATACTTTATCTGTTGTTCTACAATTCCTCAAGGTCTGTTAGTACCTAAGCACCTGGACCTTTCAGATTTATCGAAGCGGGGACCCTCACCAAGGAAGGGACTCATGGGGCAAGTGGTTGAAGAGTAAAGGTGCTTGCTCAAGTGCAAGCTGTGCTCTATGATCTAGATGTTACAGGTTCAAGCCTGGGTAATGTCACTACCCAACTGTGACTCACATTTCCCAAGCTGCTGAGTGAACAGTGAGAATATTCAGCCTGGAACCTCAGCAGCTTTCCCAGGTGTTTGCAGGTTCACAATACTGTTGGGTGAGATATATGCCTTTCCTCCAGTCTGCACTGAACCTCTGGTACAGGGCTGTGTGGCTTGTGACACGTTAAAAGACAGCGAAGCCTGCCACTGCAACAAAATATTCAATTACATCCCATACCACCTAATTAGACACAAGTTTGAACTAGCCCTAGCACTACACAAACAAGCTCACACTATATTGAAATGGAATGATTATATAATCCTGAATGAATTTAAGGATGCCATAATTTTGACAATCTTCAAGAAATGGGACTGATACAATCTAAGAAATCACAGAGCGATCTCCATGATGTCCATCTCAGGCAAGATTAGAAGAATTCTTCCGAACTGTTTCATTGCATTTGCTGAATAACTTTTCCCAACTTCGTTCACTCCCAGGCAGGCTCCACTAGCAATGAAACTGATCATATTCCATCAGCTGCATAGGTTCGGTCATGTTATCTGGATGGGAGACTCTAGGATCCCAGAAAAGCTAAGGCAACTGCTCCAGAAGAGCACAGAAAAAGCATTTCATAGACATTGTAAAAGCAAACATGAAGAAATCAATGCCTTGGAAGCACCATACACAGTAAACACCCGCATATCTCCTGAAACCTGCCAGAGGGTCTGTGGATCCTATACTGGTATTAGCAGTCACCATCAGATTCAAGGAAGATAATTATCCTTCATCATGAAAAAAAGGTAATGAGTGACAATATCCAATAAAAACAATAAAGATTTTTTACTCTGGCACTACATATTGTAGGATCTTGGTATCATAGTGTTTATTAGTACTGAACACTTACTGACCCATTATACTTATGAGGCACAAAAATAAAAAAAAACACTTCTTGTACTCACCGCCACTGCTATCATGGTGTCGTCTGGTTTCCATTCTGCCCGCTGGTAGGACCCAAATTGTGAAGCTGCCCTCTCTGACTCTATATAGCTCACTATTAGAACACTGGGCTGCGGAAAAAAAGACAAGAAATAAAGATCAGATGAGGCAAAATGCTGTTTTGAGAAACAGAAGTAGAATATGCCTCATCAAACACATACAGCATTGTTTGTCAAGTGACTATAAGTAACAGCGCAGCAGGTGAACTTTCACAAAGTTTATTTTATGTCCTTTGTCTGTTATGAGGTAACTGTTTCCCCATCCTTATTTGTTATTTTATCTGTAAATCTGGAGATTACACATCCTCCAAAAACATGAAACAAGTTCTTCAGACCAGCTTAAAAATAGCTACTTGCAACAGAACAACAGTACTACATTCAAAATTATTCAGGACTAAATAAAATTATTCATCTAACTTATGTAACTATCTAGATCATACATAGGATCATTTTGAGAGGATAATCATCACTTTTGTGATTAAGCTTTATGAATGCCCCAAAGCATTACAATGATTCAGTATTAGAGCTTCTGTATTTGAGGATGAATCAGATAATGACAAACAGGGCCCATCCATTCTAGTAATGAGATCAACCAATTCTAGGGAGCCTAGAACTTCTAGATAAGTATCCAGAAGAAAAGGTGGATTGACTCCCCAGCTGCTCTGCCATCCTGGGCCAAGCAGTAGACCCATGGGGAGGGATTAAACATATCAACGGCCATGAACATGAGCTGAGGGGAGAGATTCGTTAAGAAACTAAGAAAGGTTACAAATGAGAGGAGGCCATTTGGCTCCCCTAGTTTGTTTGGTAGCTAGTAGCTAATTGATCTGAGGATCTCATTCTGCCATTTCTTGACAGAAGCCAAGCCAAGCTTGTTAGGTTCACCAACATGGCTAGGTACAGTACCCTGTTCCATACTCCTACAACCACTTTTATATAAGAGTTTTATATAAACAATTGTATCGTAATTTATGAAAATGTTTTCTTTATTTTCCCCCATCTTTTGTAAATTATACACAGACTAGAATGTATTCCAGGCACAAATATTCATGCCCTGCAGCTCTTCTCTTTTTAATGTGGAACAAAATATTCAAAACAAACATTTACAATACATAACAGCAGGACACACGGAGACAAACTAAACGGCAAAAAACATAACAGATGTCAGGGGTATTCTGCTGTTCAGCTGTTCTTTATGCTCTCTTCCTAATTACAGTATGTGACAATACCTACACATTGCAAGTTTATAAACAAGGCTTGGTCTCAATTTTCCTTAATTTTAACATCTGACATGCAGCGAAGTAAGAATTCTTTTATGGCTTCTGTTTGCATGTTATGCATACCTATCCAGGAATCTGGTGATTTCACTAAATGCATCAGTCCAACCTGGAACCATAATTCGAATAATAAAGGACACAATGACTTTGCATCCTGCTTTAAACAGTAATCGTATATAAAGTAACAAGCAACTGTATACTAGGGAAAGGAAAGGACTCAATTTGTTGTTCTCTTTCTCTTGTGTATGGATTTTTTTACTGCAACACTAACAAGACTGAAAATTTTCTTTCCCTTTTGCTTTTTCAGAAAATATGGAAAAGTGGATTCAAAGTGAAATAACACTGCACTCTCTTAATTTTGTGAGATAAGTAATAGATTACCAATCTTCGTGCTAATTATCCTGATATCTAATTATTTGCCTGATATTTTATGAACCTGACCTGTGCCTTTTTGATAGCTCTTTGTTGTCCATAGTTGACTCTTTACTCTTTACAGGAACAGCCAATTTTATTTTGTAATCAGCAGGATCACTACAATTGAATTGCAATAGGGAGGTAACTGATCATATCAGGGCCATTTTACAATTGGTATTGCTATGGGTTAGATAAGTGTACACACCCCTGTTTTCTAGGTTTTAATTTGTATCTATTTTTCAAAGAGTTTAAAGTGTTGGTTTTTCACTTGGAGGTTATGTGTTACAATGTGTAGAGATAAAATAAATTCTGATTTAATGTGTCTTGATTTCAGGCTGTTAGGCCACAAACTGTTTTACTTTGGAAAGGATGTGTAGAGGTTCTGCAGGCATTGTATCCCCCCCTGCTAACCCAGATTTGTCCTGTTACAGGAGTTTGGAAGGAAATGACTCTGCCAGCTATGCCCCACGTGTTAGGGTTCTGTTATGGAAAACTGAAGGTGTCAAAGCACTTTGCCATGAACAAAACACATTGCCATAGTTGATTAAATGAGGGACTATGTCTACAGCCTTAGTCATTAATAAACACTGTAAATGTGACAAGTATTTTTCTCCTTTCTAATTGATGAATTGAATTTGTTTCTTATTTTGGCAGTTAGAGAAATTAAACCAGGAGAATATAGCAGACATTTACAGCAGAAGTGTAGCTACTGAATAGTAAAACCCGCTACAGGATTTATTGTCAAATTATGTTATACAGGTGACAGTCAAAAACATAATGTGCAAATGAACTAAATATAAATAAACTGATTTCCAAATGTCCACACGGCATTCTTTCCCATGGTCATCCTTTAATGTATGCTTTGACATTAGCACATATTAGCTTTAGATAGAATATATGTCTGCTTTTTACAGTATATTAAACTTGCAGCACCTGCTACATTATCTGCATGGAAAATGTTGTTAAATAGAGACAAGATCTGGAGATTTTAAATAGCCTGACTTGAAGCATTTTAGAGTAGATGAAAATTACCTGCTGAAACTCCTTCAAAGTAAAGTCAGATTAGAAAAGCCATAGTATCTTAAAAGAGCAACACAAATCCAGCTTTGATATAGATCTAAGAGGAAAAATGTATACAGCAGGTGCACAGTACAGCACCCAGCTGAACGATATGCTTCATCTGCTTTATTTTATGTCAACTGTACCTAAGAGTCAGGATGCAGATCCAAACACCCTTTACATTAAGAAAACAGGAGACACTGCACCTCCCTTTCTGAGACCAGCATTGGCCACAGTGCTGTAGGAGTTACAGTACACTGGAAATTCAGGGTTAAGTTAAGAAACAACTGTTTGGTAAAATGCTAGTTTTTCTCCATGTACTGCAATTAGGAATTTAAGGTGCCTACACAGAACCAACAATACCGATATTACCCAAAATTAAAGTCACAAACCTATGAACAATGAATGCCTGCCACTCACTGTTGCTCTTACTTAATATTACTGAAACCGAGTTTACCTAAGAAACAAGAATGCTGTTAAACTCGGACAACTTTTTTTAACTCATCATGTTTGTGTTACTACTGACTCATTAAGGTTCAGAACAGTGTAAGGTACTGTTATTTATTCTTGTGACTGGTGCCAGCTTGCAGCAAATTGGATGAAGTAATCAGGCACTCATGTTTAACACCAGGACATTTTAAGAAAACACTTAAGCATTGGAGATTGAACATAAAAAACATGCTATCCAAATGTCTACCATTATTGGATATGTTTTCTGGCAGATATGCTCACGATTTTGTATTTTTATTTAAATAAAGTTAAGACCATTTTTCATCAATCAGGAGACATTGTGGTTTACGGCACACTTTGCTTGTATTGCACTGGAATAAGATTTCCCAAGGGAGACAAAATTAATCCTACATAGCTTCCAGAAAATGCTTTGTTTTAATTCTAGGAAAAGTTATATCAGAGGGCAGCACAGTGATGCAGTGGTACAGTAAACAGCCTGTCTTGCTGTGCTAGGGCCCTAGGTTAAATTCCTGGAGTGCTGTCTGTGTGGAGTTTCTACTGTGATTTCTCCACTTTCTGGCAGCCCTGTGATCCTGTTTTAATAATCATAACATCCCTTTATTATCCCTTTACAATTTCTTGCATTAGGAATTGTCTTTTCGCATACCCCAGCGCAGACGCACAGACAGGGAGAGAGCCTGGGGTCAGAGCGCAGGGTCTGCCATTGTATGGCGCCCCTAGAGCAGTTGGGGTTAAGGGCCTTGTTCAGGAGCCCAACGGAGTAGGATTCCTCTGCCAGCTGTGGGATTTGAACCGGCAACCTTCTAGCCACAGGCACAGATTCAGTGCAAGGTGGTAAGATTTATTGACAGCCAATAAGCAGACGGTCACTCAACATGACATTCAATACAAATGTAACCCTAATCCCTCATCTTCCTCTTCCAATGTTGCTGTATATTTTGCTGGGCAATCACCATGGAATGCTTTAAGATTACCACGATTTAAGAAAAGATTGAGGTAATCTTAAAGGAAATCACAAGATGCACTCAGTGATTTTAAAGAAATTAACAGCATTACACCTGAAAGCTATAACCCAATTGTAGAAGATTTTGTTCTTGTTATAGCTCTAGATGCTTGTGGATTTCTATCCGCACACCAGAAATAGTCATTTATAATATTTGTTTATTAAAAACTTATAATTTACTCATTTAACAAGGTGGGGAATGAAAAAAACAAGGAAAGTAATGACAGCCACGACAATTCCGTGCTTGTGAGACAGAGTTTGTCCAAGCTCATACACTACCCATTCTAAATAACTAGACTCAGAGGACACCAACAATAATCCATCTTGGCCTGTTAACAAGAGTAGTGAGACCATTTTCTAGTCCTATATTTTTATTTATCCTAATAGCTAGAGTGCAAATAAAAACGCTGCCATTTTATTTCTTATAGTTCTGTGACAATGCCAGTACCTATCTATGGTAAGGTTCCGATTCTGAAATAGCAATAAAAAAGGCAAAGTTTTCGACATTTGACACTGGGTCAAGATGTTTGAGCTGGGAGCTTAATGTTCTCCATAAGTGTCCATCTTTATCTTCATCTTTCTTCCAGAAAAGGTCAATAAAGAATTCCATTATTGATTTCTTGGTCAGAATAATTAAAGCTTCTACCACAAAGTCATACATTTGTCTCCTCCGAAACATGAAAGCCAAACATCAAGATATTTTAAAGCACAGCCACTTCTATCTTCTACTTGTTGCATCTGTTGCCCTCTATAGTGCAACTCCAAAACATGACATCAGGCCACCACTGAACTAGAGATGTGAGAGCCTGCCAGAGACTAACCTTGCAGCTTTAAATTAAATCAGTGCA